TTCCAAAGCTTTAAAGACATCTGCAGAATTTGAAGAGAATATTCCATGGATGATTATTTAGGGGTGAAACGATCATCGAAATTGGTTAACAACTACTAATATGTTGTTAACGATCGAGCTATCGATTATAGATGTAGCAAGACTAACAACAATCTTCAGGTGTTCAATTCACACAGTATAACAAAGTTGTGCTACCTTCCTCCCTTTTCTGTGAAAATACCACTGAAGCAAATCGTAATAATGGGGTGGTTTGCTGCGAATGCCGGTGAGAGACTGTGAGCACACAGTGTGACAGTGGTAGGTAAGTATACTCATACCTCGTTTATCCGGGCGGTCAGGGACTGGCCACTGCCCGCAACTTTGAAATGTCCGTGACTCCGAATCACATACATTTTGATACGGAAAGGCCATAAAATGGCATAATAATATTATGACTAGGGCTCAAACGGTCACGGTTTTACCCCTGACGGTTAACTGCTAAGCTAACGGTCGGTTAACCGGTTATAACCTATAAGCCACGGCAATCCTGCGGACTCTTTTTTAACCGTATATTTGACTATACTCATTCAAAAAATGTACCCTATTCAGTACAACGCACACTTGTACATTCTCTTGCATGCTCATTCATACATACTCTAACACCAAGAGACCAGATATGACCGAGTTGACAGCCCAGAAATTGCGTACGCGTGCGACAGCCCGCGAAAGTGCACACTTTGCAACGACCTGATACTTGAAAAATTGACTGAAAAGTTACTGCGTAACCGTTATCTTTATCGGTTAACCGTTAATTCTTCGTATCCGGTCTGCAACCGGTTAATCGGACTAACCGTTTGAGCCCTAATTATGACGTCACTATTTCCACAAAAAGTGACAGTTCAGTAGTAATATTTCCACTAAAACTCGCCCAAAGGGTGCTCGGTAGACCGAAGTGCTCGTAACCTCGGGGTCCGGATAACCGAGAGGTACCGGTATGTGTGTAGTGTATGCAACATTTCAAAACACAGATATAGACCACTGCTAACTGTTAGACACACACCACAGTAAAATCTGTCAAGGTAACCACTCTGATAAGGCGACCGACTGAATTTACTGTCCTACAGGACCACTGCAACCAGAACCAAGGGATGTTATTTCCAGTCAAAAGACCCTGGATAAGGTGACCACCCGTGCAAGGAGGTCGCCTTTGACAGGTTATACTGTCGACTGTCTACTGCCAGACATAGCCGCGGAACACTATGTAAAAGCAATGACATATTGGGGCAGGAATGGAATTGCAAAACGTGGATACAAACATTGGACGCAATCCTGCTAACCAACCTGGCTGATGGCTTTTCCTTCTTCTCTTTCCGTTCCTTCTTTTCTTTCGGTTCCTTCTTTTCTTTCTTTTCTGCTTTTTCTACCTTCTCCTTTGGCTGCTTCGGCTTGCTTGGTGCCTGGAACAAACGTTGGTGCGAATAGCATGACATGTACCCAAGTAAGCGAAAAAAGATTGCCATTGAATAAGAACCACACACCATGCACACACCATGCACACACCATGCACACACACACACACACACACACAAACGCGCGCACACACACACACACACACACACACACACACACACACACACACAGGTATTCACTGTAACAGCTCTCCCATGTCACCTACCTTCTTCCTCTTCTTGCTCTCATCCACAGCCGGGATTGTCTTGACTGCATTCTCCTCATCACTCGACAACATAGCATCAGAATCAAACCTATACAGGCAACAACCGCACAAACAAACCACACGGCAACGTCGTAAAAGAAAGCTAAGTCCAGTTCAATAGATCAGGTAAGAACGTGCCCAACTGCTCGATGTGATCAAACATGAGCAATGTGCTGCTACTATAGCCATCCACGGGCAGCATGCAGTAACAGTTAAGAAGACACTCAGTGATGTCACTGCACTGCACGCCAAGACAATAGCTTCTGTCATACATGATAACTAACTACTGTCAGGTTTTGCGCCGGAGTCAGTCGGCCTGTTGCGTCAATTTTGTGATTAGGTAGACACTTGGTGAATGTACTTCAGGGATCGATTTACTTTGATTTTTTTCCATAGCAGTCACACAGCGCACAGAATTTTCGCTTTTCTCCTTTTCGCTTCCACGACAGTTCGCAGAAAACATTTTCGACGAACAACTGTTCGTCGAATCCTGTTCGTCCCCAAGCCATTTCGTTGACTGGCCCATTAGGTGACTGTCCTTTTCGACGTGTGAACTTCTCGCCGAGTGACAGGTTAGACGAAAGGTATTTTCATCGACAACCTTTGTCGAGGTGTGGGATTTTCGTCGAATGACACGAAATCGACCTCTAAATATACCTAACAAAACCAAACGAAGGGAAAGGGAAATGTGCAAATGCAAGGCGAACATGGGCGAGGACACAAACAAGTGAAGGGAGCGAAAGGTTTCCATGGCGTGAGCGTGGTGGTGCAATTCTAACAGATGGATCAAAACAAAAACTTTATTACATATGTGTGCCCTCCCAACAATCAACCATATAAGGCATATCTGTTGATGTTCTTCAAGCAACTACGAGAACTGATGATGGAAGTAGATCTCAAGACGACCACCAAGCATGGAAAAGAAAAGCTCATTCACCGTGGGTATGGCTACGTTGTGGACAAGGTTGGAAAGGATGGAGTAGTTTACTGGAAGTGCGAGGAGAAGGATGCCTTGAGCTGCAAGGGAAGGATGAGGACAAGGCACGGGCTGGTGACGGCGGTAACTGGCAACCACACTCATGCTCCGGATGCCATGCGTGGGGACGTAGCCAAAGTACGGGATCAAGTATCCTCGCGGGCTGCGCCTCTTGGAGCTAATACAGCACTTCAATGCAGGACACGACCGACTCAAGTTCACCTACGAGCTCAGCAGTAGCAAAGGCTGGATTGATTACATGGACGTGACGATTGCCATACAACAGTCGGGCCAGATGACGTACAAGCTCTTCCAAAAGCCATGCAATAGTGGATTGCTGATAGACTACGCATCTGCTGTACCTCATCACATCAAACTTGCCGTTGCCAAGTCTCAATTCTTAAGAGCACAACGGCTGTCTTCCAATGACACCATGTGTAAAGAAAGTGAACAGAAAATTCAAGACCAACTTCAACTCAACCACTATCCAGAGAGCCTCATCATCAATGCCCGAGAAGCAGCAAGGAAACCCAAGCGTCGCCGCCGAGGTAATCCGTGTTGTGCGTTTCTGAAGCTGCCGTATAAGTCGGACAGGGTGCATCACAGCGTCAGCAAAGCTATCCGGAAGCACAAGTTACCAGTCCGGGTGGTTTACGAGCATGCGGGTAGCCTCAAACGTCAGCTCTGTCACTCAGCACAAAGTCCGCCCAGCTGCATTAAGGAGCCCAACATCAGAAAGACAAAGAGAAGAGGACGCCCATTGGGGCCGTGTCTGACTTGTAAGTCGGGTGGAGTGAAAATATGTTTGAAGAAGAATGTGATATACCGGCTGCAATGCAAGTTGTGCAGGGAAAAATACATTGGAGAGACGGGTCGCACACTGGAGACAAGACTGGAGGAACACAACGGTGAGGCTCGTAGGCGCACTGTGGATAAGCCATGGGGTGACCACATGCGAGCTAAGCATGCAGGGATCAACCTAGGTGTCGGGGACAGCATCTTCTCGGCAGTGTCTGTGGTTGCAAGAGCCAGTGACAGGGCAAGCCGCAAATTGCGAGAGGCAGTGGAGATCAGAAACGAAGGCCCAGAGATCAACACCAGTACTGGATGGTCATTACTCTAAAACAATCACACCACACTGTCTATCTAGGTGACAGTATTTACTGGAAACCACTGACATGGTCACATTCGTGAATTGCTTGCGAGAAACCTGTTCAGACATTTCTCAAGTTATCTGGTGACATCTGCGCTGTGCTAACTTATTACCAACACCCAGCATATGAGTCAGTGAAAAGTTGTGATCTTTCACTAGTTTTAGACATGTCATATTTCTAGCACTGAGGTAACATATGTAGTCATAAAAAAATATTATCAACACCTAAGAACACAAATTAGTGTATATAACTGCTCCTTGGCAGACTTCCACTTCATATTGTATCCTGATGATGGCAATTTGCCGAAACGTTGAAAATGATTATGTGAAATGAAATGCACCATTACATTCATTCACACAGTATCACATTCATCTGCCACTACCTTTCTCACATACACTATATTCACACATTGCAAAGGTGCAAACTTCCCTTTTTGTACCTGTTAGCTGCTGTATTTCTACCTGAAACCATATTAGCTACATGTATATAAGTGTGTGTTTTAGTTATTACATTTTTATGTGACGGCGTTCCACTGATGACAGTCACAAGAAAACGTTATGGAACTTGACTTTCTTCATTTTTGCTGTTGTTATGAGTGCACAATTTATCTTATTTATTGCCATTTTATGAAATGAAATGAGTTGTGAATTTGCAGTGCCCAGGGAATGAGCATGTGTGCTCACCAATTCTCTTTAAACTGATACTTGGAACAATAAAGCAGCAGTAAGCAGTAAACACAGGTATACAATACAAGCGATGCAGATCAATGAGGCCGTTTGCTGAAGAGAAGATCAAAATACTTCTGAAAAGACGCTGCGTCTTTTAGCATGGTCTGAAGGTGCTTAGCAAATGTAGAAGTGCGGTGCTGGGCGCGCCACTCCATAGGCAAAGAATTAAAGAACAGTGCAGCACGATTTGAAAAGGAATTGACACCGTCAGTCATCCGGAATTTAGATATTGCAATAGCAGCAAGTTTCAACCTAGGGCCGGTTGAAACTTGAGGGAAAAGGTTCGTCAGATTTGGGAGAGGGAAAACGACATGATTAACATGGATAAATTTAGCAATGCTACGAATAAGGTAATGTTCAAATGAATCAATCGACAATCTAGCTAACAGCGGCATGACGTCATCGTGTAGTTTCGAGCCACAAGCAGCGCGTACAGCACGACGATAAAC